CAAACTACTGTCAGTATAGCTGTAGCATTTAGATACCATACTAGTCTGTTGGTTTGGTACTTATCATTGAACATACTACATAAGAAAAATAATTCTGAAATCTTGTTAGGAATATTGTAAGGCTATCATCAAGACGGTAAATGTGGTGATAGAGTAGTAAAAAAAATTTTCTTAGCCGACTCACCCCACCAATAGATCAGTGATATTACAGTTGAAATATAAAGCTGAATTAGGTGAGAAAATTACACAACTTTATTATCTTCACCGACCATAATTATGACTTACAGGCTAAAGGCATCAGGATATTTGCCAAGAATAGCCTCGGTTTTCCCCCAATGTACGTCATCAAACATAACAATTTTATATAATACTGGAATCTCATATCACCTGTGAGAATAATATTACCATAACATCCTCATCTGGACACCATTAACACCCCAGTGGAAAAAAATGAAATACTATTAACCGGTTGAATATATACTGTACAGTGAATAAAAAAGACGATCATGGTGCTTACAAAGGCTTAAATAATATTACAACAAAAATACCGAATAAAGTTGATTAATTACCTGTATGAGATGAGGAAATTAAATATAATATATTCGGTATATTCGTACACTGATAATTACCTACCCACACCCACGATACGTTAGAGTTTGAGTAATGAGCCGTTGTCACTGAGTATCTTAAAACACCACTACCGTAAAGACACTGAAAATGTCGTCCTGTATAGTAACTCGCTCTACATATCTAAAATTAAACGTTAAGTGTACATGGTGATTACTGAGGAAAATAATTATAGCGAAATAGTAGCCGACAAGTTATGTTTAGGTGATAATCTAAGGCCTCACGTCTAGTATACAACAGGTGATCAAATTGAAAAGTTGTGGAATAGTTTAGAGACGATGACCCTGGCTGTTGAAGCACCTAACATGGTATATCAACACACTCATGAATGTCTTCTGTTATCATAGTAATAACACAGTAGATATCAAAGCAGTAGTGTATTCAATAACATTTAACGTGGAATATTATACTAGGGTGTCCTCCATTATAATGAATATTGACTTATCCAGTGTTATTATTTTGGTGAAATTAATGATAGAAGAGAGCAAGGCTTTATGTAGTCTTAATGCTGTTATTGCCTGCCTCTCTCAAGATGTGTAGGTTACTCCCACAGACTATTTACGGCCTTGGGACTACTCGAGCACTATATCCTCTCTCTCTAGGTGGGACAGTTCGGCCCCTCCTTGACCCCCCTCCACATCCCCAAATCGATAGAACATATTACAAGACACTAACATGATCTTTTGTGATATGATATATTATTAGTGATCAGCGGCGACAACCTGCTGCTCTGTTCGTATCAGGAGCCAAGGCAGAGGTGAGGCCCCCGGCAACACAACAAAACCTTAGTGTGTTGGAGAAAATATTGAGCCAAGTGAGTGTTAACCTCCCCCCTCACGCAGCTCCTCGTTCACCGCGTGATTTACCGCTGTTGTGTACCGAATTTATGAGAAAGGAAGCTAGAACTATAAAATATGAGTAATATTTCATCTTTTACTGTAGACTGGGGAAGAAATTGATCAGCGAGGTGGTCTTCAGAGTACTAGAGGCAAAGATACCTGGGAGAAATGTGGTGGGTGTGTGTGTGTGTGTGTGTGTGTGTGTGTGTGTGTGTGTGTGTAAATCTTTTATTTTCTGTCAAAAATCAGTATACCTTAAACTCCCTCGAGAAATTAAGTAGCCGACTTCATCCTGTTATTACGTTGGGTCTTGATACGCGTTAGTGAGATATTGTGGGATGGTGGCCGCTCCCTCGGTGAGTTAAATAGATGTTCTCAGTGAACACAGGACCAGTAATTAACATCGCTGCAATGAAACGATTACAGTGACTTCACCAGACGAACATTAGCAGGGGCAAGCTTTATGGTCCAAGAATTAGTCTGATAGTCTCTTACACTTGTTGAAATAAGGACAGAAGGAACAATTACTTTAAATAAATTGCATATGAAGATGGTTAGAGTATAAATACTCTCAGAAATAAACAAAATATATTAAGGGAAATTTTTATGAGAGCGAGGACAAGAAATCAGCACAGTGTTTGCCCCTCCCACATCCAGAGTGCGGCGGTGCGTGAAGAATCCTCAGCAAATACTGGAACAGATAAGAGCCCATTTAGGGGAGAAAACGTTCAAATGTTGATACAAGTATGCAATTTTATTTGTGCATTGTCCACTGGTCTCTTTGTTAGAGGAGCGCGTTCACCTGACATTACAGGACAGTAGACATTTATTGAAGATGGCCAACAACATGCAGAAAAGACATCGTTTCAACTAAAAGTTCTTTTTAGTGTAGCTTTTCAAAATCGCAGTTCATGAAAGGGACGCGTCAACACACTACATATCATCACAGGTCGTCCTATATAGGCTAACTGGTGGACCTGCCATGTACTGTACCGTACGTTACTGTCGCCATTCGCATTTCCCATTTTTTCTGTTTCTTTTTATCCATCTAACTTACATCTAGTGTTGTCATTTGTCTTACCGCGATCCTGAATAATAATAAATAATCACCGTCACTACAGGAAATTTATCATTCAGTGTCACGCACCTTATCAACAGTGAAAGTTGAGTGACGCGAGAAAAACAAAACTGGTGAGGGTTGTGTCAGCGCGAGGTAGTCAAAACTAAATTTCGTTCGGTCAGTATTAAGCGTTCAAAAGATCTGGCGGACTCATTTAAACATTCTTCATCAAGGTGTACTGAGTAAGTCAAAACCGTTTCTTGTTTCAGGTTTATGTTATTTGTTGTTTGATCTTAATTTGGTGACTGAGTGTGCGGTGGCAGAGTCGATACAACTCTCGCAAAACTACCTGTCCTAAGGCTAGCTGGTTCACACATTCGTACTGTCCCTGCTTATGTGGCCCACTTTCACTTTGACGGTGCACACATGCGTCTCTTTCTGCATCTACCAAGAATCCCTATATAATGTAAACCTCGATTATAACACGACTAGGAAAACACATTACATTACATACGTTATCCCAAGGAGTCAAAACTTACTTCCAACAGTGACTATCACGCAGTTTATAACTTAAAGAGTAATATACACCTCAGGGCGTCGGTGAGGGCGCACACTCAGCAGATGTTTTCGCTGCCTCCAATACTTCCTCCGACTCATGGCGACAAGAACCAAATGTTATCACTTAAAATTCTTAATTCAAATTCCATCTTTATTTACTGGGGGAGGGCAGGGGAGAGGGGGAAGAGGCCAGAGGAGTGGGGGAAGAGGCCAGGGGAGTGGGGGAAGAGGCCAGGGGAGTGGTGGAGGGGACAGGGGAGTTGGGGAGAGGCCAGGGGAGTTGGGGGAGCGGGGGAGGAGGATAGAGAAATTCTACGGGAAATTAACAAAATATTTATCTAAAAACCTTCCTAAAAGCTTCATTAACACTGAAATGGGATTGATGACCTTGTATCATAAATTATCCTGTGGTTGAGGTCCTAATGGACGTAAATAATAGACGGTGTGAACTATTTGACACAATTATATCTATAGTCTTTCCCTAACCCCCTCTCATAATTCTGGATGATTATGATAGATAACAAGGCAATTTGTAATCATTTATATACATGATGCATTATCGTTATGGTTTCTCTCTCTCTCTCTCTCTCTCTCATCCCTGTACAATGTATCACAGACTTCGGAGTATAACATGTTCACCGTCGACCATTTCTTAGAAAACATAACTTTTTAAAAATGGAAAAAAGAATCGCTTGGAATTTGCTTAAGTTCTTCTATATGAAATAGTTAAAATTGCCAGTTTGGATTAAAAGAAAATAATTATAATGATTCTTCGCTAGATATATTGAAAACAAGATAAAATAGATACAATATACTGTATAATTATCTACTAGGATAAATTTCAAAACAATCCATTCATAAAGGTTAGACTGAGTTCCGCTGATAAGTTTAAAGTTCACACACACACACACACACACACACACACACGTTCACACACACACACACGTTCACACACACACACACACACACACACACACACACACACACACACACACACACACACACACACACACACACACACACACACACACACACACACACACACACACACACACACACACACACACACACGATAATAACCCCTCTACCTCGAAGCAAAAAAAAACTAGCCAAGAGATTAAAAAAAAATACATTGCAATAAACACAAACTATAGTCTTTGTATATTCCTATTCATACCTGGAAGTATATTCGAACACAGACATCATTTGTTGATGAAGCTCCACCTGAAATTAAATCATGCAGGAAGGTAATACCAATAGGAACTTTTTGTGTGGCTCCCCTGGTCAGCCGGCCAGCATGGAGGGCGGATGACTACCTGTTAAAATAGCTCACTGATGACGAGGGAGTTCATCAGTAAGTGGTTGTCTGCTGGGGAGGGGAATGTGTGTGTGTGTGTGTGTGTGTGTGTGTGTACAGATGCGAGTTTGGTTATGGTATGACGGAAGTGTTTGTATGTATCCGAAATATTTCTTAGACATGGATACTAAACCAGGAATACATTTTCTTACTAAAATTGTTGGTTAGGTTAGGTAATAAACATCTAATCAAATTGCTGATGAACAACTTCCTGTTTCCTGTAGTGTTAATAATGAAGTTCTCGTGCACGTCTACAGATGGTTAACACTGATTAATAAATATTTCGACCTGTATTTTATTTGATTTTAATAGATGAATCAATCCCCTCTTTCCTCTTCTCTCTTTCATATACATTCATCCTGCTTCTTTGTCTCCTCAGTACGATGACTCTCTCTCTCTCTCTCTCTCTCTCTCTCTCTCTCTCTCTCTCAGTACAATAATATCTCTCCATCTCTTTCTCTCCTCTGTGTCTCCCCGGTACAGTAATACCCCACTTCTCTCTCTGTATCTCTTCCATACAATAGTCTCCATTTATCTCTGTCTCTCTATCTCCCTTCAGTACCGCCGAGCAAACCTGAGATCTACAACGAATCGGGTCTGTTGGTGACTGGAGAGAACGGTGCGTCCATTATTGGCCCATACAACGAGGGTTCACCACTTATCCTCTCTTGTAAAGTGACAGGAGGTAAGTCGCATTGTATTTCATGTGTCTTTTAAACTTTGTGATAACTTGTACCGTAGATTTATTATTAATTACTATTATTATTGTTTTGTCTGGTGTTGTCCTTAGCGACTGCTGTGGCTATTGGTTTGAAATTTCAGAGAGAGAGAGAGAGAGAGAGAGAGAGAGAGGAGACACACCCAAGCAATCACAGGCAATGACAGACACTCAGACAACAAAAGCGTGTGTGAAAGTAAAAAAAAATCAGAATCGTATTACCTGTTCTGTCATTACCAACCTCACCTGTATTTTCCCCAAGCTCACTATGACGGCACTACTCCCTTGGGTAATGTTACAAGATAATTCCTGTGCAATTCAGTACAACTTCTCTCTCGCCAGGTAAAAATAGATCACCAATACGAAAAAGCTCTGAAGTACACACCAAGTCTATCAGTAGTTATTTTTATGCAACACTTTGCTTAAGATAATTAAAAGAGGCAAAACTACCTACATAGTTCATAAACAAGATAACTATTCTATATTATCGTCAATAACTACAGGGTTTTTTTTTATTCATCTCATCCTTAACTCGCAGTAATTCATCAATTATTACTGTATTGAAGGATGAATGTAAAATCGTTCCTACATTTCAATATTTTTTTTTAGCGTAAGAGCAAACCTTATGTACTGAGTATTAAGACTTGAGATACTAAGGTACTTTATTGCATCATAATGACAGTATTTATGAGTACATTAAACATTAAAGGAAACTCATAGATACAAAGACACAGACGCAAGGACATAAACAGAGATACAGACGGAACATAAAACTCGGACAAACAAATAAGGTTGAAGTAAAATCAGATGCAAACAAAGACATGACAAACATTCACACACACAAACAAGGACAAAGCAACTCAAAGTGTCAAGCTAACCTAGGACTGACAAACACCCACAACAATACACAAATAAAAAACAAATAAAAACAAACCTAACATATGCAGACACAAAAAAAAAACATACAATAAAATTATACACAGACAAACAAACACAATAGCAACTCAGTGACGACATCGACACAAACAGCAACAAAACAAAAACTCTCCAAGGTGTCCCGGAATCAAGGAAGCCCGCAGCACTGTACAAAGTTGTGAGGGATATGAAACATGGTAAGCCAGCGAAGCGTCCCTTGAGACTCTCACCAGACCTGCTAACCTGGTTACAATAACTCCAACACAACACTCCACCCCCCCTCCCCCCCTCTCACACTCCGGAGACGCTCTACACAAACTGGTGGTAACGTTCAGACAGAGAGTTTGACTTGAGGAAAGCTTTGTTGTGTGTATCAAGAAGCTGAGGGGGCGGCTTTGTCTTTCATAAAGTCTTGATTTTGACTTGTGTCGGTGTTGAGTGTGTTTGGTTGTATTTCAAAGGCTGAGTGTAACTTTGTTTTGTTTAAGAGGCTGAGTGTGTCTATTGTTTATTATAGTGAGTGTGTCTATGTTGCATATTGTAGTAGTTGGTATAATTTAACCTCTTCAGTTTAGTGATTTAACCTACACGGCACAATAGTTCATATTCAGAAGGGTAAGACATTGTACTGAAGGGAGTGTCATCGAACTCAAGGGATTATCATTTCTTAATTAAAAGACTGATTCACTGTACTTAGACGGGTAAGATCGTATAAAAAAGGTTAATAGGAGAATCAGAATAACAAGACCAAGCAAAATACCTCATAATCTTTAAAAAAAAAAATTATCTACTACAAAAATGAAGACTGTATACTTTAAGACCCTGGCAGATGAAACGCCTTAAAACACCGACCGAAGACATACTTTGTCCTCTCTTGCTCCTTAAGTATATCAAAACAATTATATTCGTCTCACTTCCTGTTGTTTTGCAAAGTTTCATATGACACGGTACAGAAATATTTACGACTGTGGTATATCACTTTCTTATTACAATATTTTGATTTGTTATGATCCTTCCCACACCAATAAAGATTTAACAAAAGATTAATATTTCTGAATCGTTAGGAAATGAAAATTTCTTCATGATTTTGGTAGTATTGTATATATAGACAAGGTATTTCGCCATCAAGTTTTAGTATTCGCGTGCGTGTATGATTGGGTAGAAGACGATCCTAATGGGGGAAAACTAGATAATGGTTCGTATGAGGGGTAGATACTGTACAGCGATGTCATCCAGACCCAAGAACTTCGGATCAAGCATGAATGGTCGACAAGTGGGCAACAAATCTCTAAGGTGAAATCCTCAGAGAACAGACAATCCCAAATTACTTCGAAGTGTCACTAACTCTTGTAACAATAGGCAGAGACAGTGGTTACCGACTGATTACGACGACTAATTCGCTGCTTGTCACCTAACCGGCAGAGATTAAGGAAAGTTTTCGTCATCAGGAACCTCTGGAATAAAAACAACAGTTCTTCGTTGTTTATGCCAAAATAGTTTACTCATAATGCATAAGAAAAAAAAAATACTGAGCGTTTACAATAAAAAAAATCGAACAGTAATCTCCAGTTGCTGCTGTGGTATATTACGAGTGAGGGAAGATCATACGAAGAAACTTTGTCTCAAATATTGTTTTTTGAGTAACTTCTGATACATATTTTCCTCTTACCCACCCAGCGACACGTCTCCCCATCAGGATATTACCAGAAGAAACAAGTGAAAGAAATCAAATTCGGTATTTGAAGTGATGACAATGTTCCTTTACTCGATAATTTTCAGAGTTTCCAGTCGTCTGGCTCTCTGTTGGTTTCTAAGAAGCCTTAAAGTTGTTTACGTTGTCTTGTATTTTGTCTGTATGAGAAACTCTTACGCTCGTGTCCCAATACAGATCAGTCTTTCCATCATACCATTTATTGGTTACTTATATTTTTTTTTTTACAGTCTCGTCGGATTAATGAACAAAAGTTAAATATTCATTATATAATTAATACTCACATTGCACTATATTAATTGGGTACTTGAGCATTATTTATTGCAAAAAAAGGAGCTAAAGTACATTTTTTTCTTTCATTGACAGTGAATAGATTGATAAACTATGTCGGAAAATATAAACTTTATATTAATAGCCTTAAAGATTTACAATAAAAGTGCTTCTTAGTTTCCATTAATTAGGTTCGTCTTCAGATACATGTTGAAAAGCTACGTTTTGTTACGAAGTTCCAGTTAATCTAAATACTTTATTTTACCTTCCATGGGATGACTATAACATTCTCATTGATACACAATTAACGCGGTAAGAATCGACCACCACCAGGCAGCCTCACACCCCTCGTGCTCATTAGGTATTCCGCTTTTCTGTTTAACTCTAGTGCTGTTTCAGTCTGAGCTCCTCGTTTTTTCCCCCACCAAGCTCACTGATTTTCGAAACGCTGCTGCTCGTACCTTGACAGAGCAAAATAAAAAACATGGAATGTCGCTCCGAGCAGATATTGTCGTCATGCATACCAAAACTGATGGTCAGCGCAGTGGCCTAGTAACATGACCACCACACCACCGCTAGTTCCAACACCATCAACAACAGAGAAAAAGACCAACCACGCGACAGCTACATCAGCGGCTTTTGAGGCCAGAACAGAATTAAAAAGCAACATTGGTAAAGGCACTCAAGCCAAAAAACAGCATAAAAAAAACGATAAAAGGTTTTTGTGACATGAACACCCACAATAATATCAGCACCAGCGACTCGAATAAACCTGAAAATATAGCACCAACTGAAGGAACGACACTTATCGCATCTGTGCCAATATGACAACTCAGCAACACATTTCGACGAAGAGGAACACATCAATCAGGAGGTTGTTACTCCTATCTCTTACACTTTTTTCTCCTTGACGAACGGCGCCTAGTTGGAAACAAAGAGAAAATTTACTCAATCAGTCTTCCATCGGGAAATTTATGGAGACAGATAGCAGGATTGTACTGTTCACATTACGAGTAAGGCAATTCGTTTTGTAAATATATATCTCGGGTGTACTGCGACGTATTTTGTTAACTGAGTGAGCAAACTTACCAAGGAATTCACTTTCCTTTGGCTTAGATGTTGAGTTTTGCGACGATTCTGAAGTAAGTTAATTCCGTTGTAAAGTAAATATTTACCTTTTAGTGTTTTCTATTGATTTCAATATATCAGGGTAATAGAAATTATATTACAGTACTTGTACGGTATACCCAATTCTGTACTCGCATTTATGTTTCGAAAACGTTACAATACCCTTTTAATAGAATTTAAAATCAGAGATATAAATTTAACAGCTAATGAACACAAATCAGATTCTCAAAAAAAAAATCCGGAAATAATTGACATTAGCTTCTACTTAAATTAAACAAATGAGCATCACGGTACGAGTATGAACAGTATCACGATATTACCAACAGCATTTTACTTTCCACTAATAACAAGGTACTTTCAGCATCGTTTAATATTTTGTCTATTTCATATTCGCATGTGGGCTTAATGTGTATTGATTGAGCCTTATTGTGTTGCTCAATAATGTTTCATCCAGAACTGGGAAACATTGATAAGATTAGGGAGGTCAGAATAATTTTGGCTTGGGTTGGGTTGGGTGATGTAGGCGAAAAGGGAAATTTGTGGTAGCTTCGGGGACATACACAAATTGACATATACAAGACATACAGGCACAAATATACACTCCACCGTACATTACGTATATACATAGTACTCATGATTCTCGAACACATATGCGCATACATATACCCACAGAACATACAATCATGCAAGAATACATTCAAATTATTCGAAAACAAATTCACGCATGAGGAATTTCAATATTTGAAGCCTTTCATCCCTACACTGCACACATATAATGGATATCATGTAACCCACACCTCGCTCCCACTGTTACACTGAGATTATTATCGTCCCATTCTCTGGTGGTCGCGATATACTCGTGGCTTGTCGCTAAAACACATCATTACATTACATCCAGCTACATGTCTGTGTTTGTTTCCATCTCTGCGTTATAATTCTTCGCCTTTTGTTGACAGGTAAAAAGATTTAGTGATTTCAGCAACTCCACTCCTCGTCTTCAGCCCCTCTATGACCTACATCATTTATGGGTATTTTTTAAATCTTTTTTTGGAAATTCAAGAGTAATCTTATATGGTTAGGTTAGGTTAAATTAGGCGTATAACATGACCATTGAGCCAAAAAAATTCCGCCCATGCTTATAAAGAATTTTCGTTACGGTTTGAAGAAAATTCTCCTTTTTCGAAACACATTTATGTTGTTAATTAATGCCAGATGTGATATTATCTCTGGTTATGACTTGTATTAAAGAAGAAATTAAAATTATCGGGAAAATTTTCAGTAAAAACTTACGAATGGGAAATTATTTGAGTGTCCAGGATGGCCATCAACACTCATCATATTCCCATTAAATTCCCATCAAATGTACAGAGAAGCATCAGTTACTGTGGCATATTTATTACACCTAAAACTCATCACCTGACTCATGACGTAAAATCCAAACTAACTGACTCGTATAGTCACATTAGTCTTATCACTTGAGTCAGAGATTCATTTTATATATAAGGGTAATAATGTATATGTTTTCAGTTACCATCAAGTAAGACTACATACAGTATATGATATTATGAAACTCGGGAATATAACAACGGGGTAGATATTGTCATTGTTACCATAGTGAGTTGTAGAGTTCGTCATATTACAGATGTGGGGAAGGGTGTGGGGAGGGGGGGTGGGGGGGGGGGAGGGATTGGCTTTGGTAAGTGAGTATGAATTAAAATATCAGAAGCAGACTTTTTTTTCTGTAATTACTTGTAGACTCGATTTTTTTCCACTTCTGTTTTACAAATTAACCTAAAGAAAACCTAACCTAACCTAACCTTTGATAAAAATAAATAACCTCGGAGAAATTTCTGACATGAGAAAATAAAGTCAGAAAGTTGAGTGAAGTTTACGAATGCTATAAAGTGGTACAAGAATGTTTTTAATCCCATAAACACTGTGGACGCCTGAAAAATTACCTCAATATAAAAGAGAACGTCACTGACTTTCCCGAGCACTTGGTAGTCTTAAGCAAACACAAGGAATAATATATTTTTTCATAATAAAGAAAGTCATATAACATCATCATTATACACATAGACACTCAACAGCATGAATCCTCTGCAACTACACCAACTGAACACGAAATCAAACCAAAATAAAAGAAACTAGGACATTTATTTTAAACAGAGTCGCTTGATTAAGGTTCTAAAATAATGTTGGAACTGAAATGAACGTATGAGCGTTGTTAACTAATTTACCTGTGTTGATGTGTGCTCAATGAATACAATATACCCCTAAAAGCCTCTCCATTACAACCCGTATACGTTACAATAGTCGCTTACAGAGGCACTGACGGGGTGAGTGCATACCATCAGTAATATACAGGGATAGATTATGTAAAATGGTTTGTAATTGTCTTTAATGAGTTAAATTCATACAGATTCTCTCTTTCTGTCTCTTTGCGTACGTCTGCGTCTTTCTGGTATATCTCTTGTCTGTCTTTCTGTCTGTCTGTCTCTCTACTCGCTGTTCTCTTATTTATATCGTTCTCTTTTTTATCTCTCTCTTATGTGTGAGTGTCTCCATACGTCTTTCTCTTGTTTGTAACGCACTCACTCTCTCATATCATAACCTATTGTATCCAACCCCCTCAATTATTCTCACTTTTTTTTTCGCCAATATTCTCCTTCTCTTTATTGAAACCCTCCAGTAGCCCTTCAATTAAGTTCTCCCGTTACTCTCCCTGTGTTGAGTGGTTATGATCGTATTCAGTCTCCTCATAACCAAGGTCAGAATTCTATAAGCTTCGTAAGTCAAGTTTTCCCCTTCTCACTCCTCGTAAACTGACAGTGAATATATATACTGTTGGTAAAATAGTCTCAGGGGAGTTCTGACGCCATTTTTTAATATTGTACTCATATGGGGTGTAGGTTAATTGAGTTATACATAAAGGGTACTTAAAAATATTATCTTCTCTTTCTGTCTAGTTGATATGAAATGCCACCCCCCTTAGTCTTCATCTTCTGTTGATGTATTTAATCAGCCTCTTCAGATACCCAAGTAAACAAATGCCACCTTATTCGTCCACTCATAGACTGCTGTGACAACATTAGTTAACCACTTGTCTTGGTTCCCCCGTTCAGGTCGGCCTGTTCCTACGGTGCAGTGGCTGGTGAACGAGGAGGTGCGGCCGTCTGAGGAGGTCCAAGAGCCAGGGGGTGTTATCAAAGTGACTCTCGTCGTGCAGGAGCTCTCCAGGACCGACCTACACGCTGTCTTCGAGTGTCGCGCAACGAACTTCAATGATTCCTCACCTATCTCCTCCACGGTCACCCTCGATATGAACTGTGAGTATGAGTAGCGAGGTGTAGTTCTCTATACATATACACTCATTAATTAAGGGCGAGTGTGAGACTGTTTACCCGAGTTTCATCTCTTGAAGGATTGGAAGTGAAAATTGAGATAATATATCAATAAACATTCAAACAGGAACGTCCATTGAGTGTAAGAGTCAAAGTGTTCTCCCAGTTTTAGAGCTCAGTAACTGTTAATATTAAGAGGGGGGAATGTCACAGCCTACACTGAGGCTGTGTACAGCACGTGGACATTTGATCTAATTACTTCATGAGCTGAAGTAATCTTAAAGTAATATTGTCCTGAGCTGTATGACGGTAGTTGTATTCATTTTAAAGAAAGGAAAAAGTTCTTTATAGATACGTTTGGTAATACAACAGAAGACTTTACTTTAACTTAAAACATAACCACAGGGAAGCGGAAAATTAACAAGGCAATGATTCTTACATTGTGGCCCCGCAACTGGTGGTAGCGCTCAGATGTATGAACACAGCGGCGGATGAAGTGTACCAGTATAGTGATACACTGAAAAATGCTTCTTTGATACAATATTCCTCCATCATTCATCTTATATAAAAAAAACATTCAAACTAGTGAATACAATACGCTGCTTTGTGATTGAAAACATATTCGGTAATACTATACGAGACGATGATAAAAGAATTAATAAAAAATTTAATAACTATTTTGTCTTAATACGTGTACTGATGAGAAAGGCGACACCCTGAAATTTGATAACAAGCCGCACGTATGTGTATGTGTGTGTGAATGTATGTGTGTGTGTATGTGTTTGTGTGTGTGTGTGTGTGTGTGTGTGTGTGTGTGTGTGTGTAGCTAAGAAAACTCGTACATTGGAAATACACAAAGGAAAATGCCATTTCACAGTTATTCCAAACTCTACATCCATAAAGCTACAGAGAATTCTACAAACTGGAAAACTTGCGTGTAGTGCGTGAGCAAGACGAATAGTTGTGTGTGGTGGGGAGCGCCCGGGGGTGTCAGGATGCTGGGCGTAGTGTCTCCAGAGGAAGTTCCCGAGGAGCGTAATTTACCGTGATTTATGTCTGATTTATTGAGATTTATGTAAGTCCAATGCTTTTCCTCCAGCAGTCTCTTGTATAAGTTTTCCGGGTTTTTTTTATTCTGACCGTCAGTCTTAGTAACGCTATTAAACAGCTATTTTAAGTAAATCCTAAATACAGGCTTGGGTGTTACTTGGACAGTTAATAAAAAGTTACTTGCAGGAAAACATGTCATGAACAGGTCGACTACGATCTCGGCTTTTCGTGTAAGATTTTATTTCTGATAATCTTTCAACATATCTGAAACACTTTCCAGTCTCAAATATTAAAGATTGAATGACAAATCAATCTGAACTTTTAAACGTGAGAAAATACGTTCTTGACGCCGACCTTCACTGTGAAATAAACTAATATATATTAACAAAACGTCGTAAGTTATTTTTTTTCATAATATTTTCCAGAATTAAGATAACCTTTCCCACTGTTTATATTACGTTTTGTCTCAGTAAATTCTTGGAGGTAATCTGCCTTTTCGTTGTAACCTTTTAACACTGAGAGGACCGCGAAGCCTTTGATTTCTTGACACTAAACACTTGTTGCACAGCTTCCTAGTCACTAGTTCCTTTCTACTGTATAATTCCCGTTGATTGTCTATACTCCATTTCCTTTATCCACTCTTAGTACTAAATCTATCTCTTGCTTTATCACCTGACTTCTGACTCTTCTTTGACTCTCACTTGTTGATGCGTCCAGAAGCACAACAACACCTGCTGGACCGTTGAGTATTCAGGTGTTGCAGATGACTTTTTTTGTTTATCTTTTCTCGTTTTTCCTTCAGGTGTATCCATGAAAATATTTCATTCCGGTAAAAGTGAAAAAGGATCACACAACATCTTTGGTGGAAAAGTCGAATTTTCAGGAATTTCAAATTAAAATGAATTAATGGAACACAAACAGTGAAGACAGTTTTTAATATCAAGCAGTAGTCTAAGAGTTTTAGCGGATAACACCACTACTCTTTTGTCACGTCAGAAACATTTTACTACTCTGGTTCTTCGTTTATTATTGTTTGCTATTTAATTCCCATCAAAGCCGAGAAAGAAAAGTCTAGCATTTTTCTGTGGTCACCGAAATAACCTCAGAGATATTGGTCACCTTCAAAAAAAATTCACACAATAATAAATAAATAAATAAATAAATAAATAAATAAATAGCCTGTACACAATGACTACATACACCTCCGTCGCTAGGTCGCCCAGGAGGTGATGTTCGTCCAGCTCTTGCCGGTGTTTATGTCTTGAGTCACAGTTACGGACGATTGTGCGATACAATACTGTACCAAGTCTCGTTACTCATATGTTGTTTGTTAATGGTTAAGAAACACTGATGAGTTTGACTATGGGAATGTGTATGATTTAGTTATAAGTATTTAAAACTGAGAAGCCAAGCAAATTAACAAACTATTTTAGTAACAATGATAAAAATTCTCTCCCATCATGTGTCATTTCCATTATTGTATTAGAGTTACTTTATTGCCCACTAGAGTCATGACAATGAAATTCTTCCTGAATCACATATTGTCAAGTTTTGCACCAAGTCCTGGGCTTCACACTCGGTTCTCTTCTTTTTATGAACACAGGGTGTCTTACTTGACGACGGCCAATGACACTTTAAACTTAAAACTGGTTTGGTAGACATGAAATATTTCTCGACGTATTATAATCCTCCAGAGTAATATTTTACGTTATAATTCAGTCCAAAGTTTAGGTCACATGTTTTCAGATTATAAAGAACACTGAGGCTTGTATAAACGTCAGCCATTCCAGTTATATGAATAATAAAGGATCAGTTAAAGTGCATTCGAGCCAAGCTCACTGATTTTTATGAAAAAAGTTTTCCGACAATTCACCCCAAAGTATGAAGCTAAATGAGTTCAGAAACAACCGTAACATGCGTATGTAAATTATCTCGCCTCAAGTTCGTGAGCTAAATGGTTGGATTTAGCTAAGGATAGGCGGATAGGGAGAAGAGGGAGGGTTAGAGACGCTCCCTGGGGCACGAGCTGACCACCACCAGCTGGACTGACGAGGCCATAACCACGAGCATTAAACCCCAAATGTCGAGTGTTGGTGTGCTGAGTGCGTTATTCCCGCCCGTAAGTGCTCGCTAAACCGACAAAGTTGCCGACATTCCTATAATTATACTGGTGACTGTGACCGCTATGCTCTTGGCCTGCTGGGCTTGATCGGCCACTACCGCGGCAGTAAATGTTGAGTTGTTGCCCCCTAACACCTCGCGTTATCTGCCCATCTCTTGCTCCCCGCCACACAACACCGTATATATGACCCCAAAGTGATGGTAATTTATAGGTATTGTAATGATTACGAAAACGATATTCATGTATTGTACAATGAAGCACCTCTCCCTGTAGTTTAGGACAGCTGTACAATCATGGCTAATCACACAAAAATGCAAATAAATATAGATTTTGACATTCGTGAGTACTGACACGGGCATATGTACTCGCGTATTCCATGTCATTTGCGTAACGAAAGGCGAATGACCGAACACTGCATCTACCCCCAGATGGCGTTATATTATCTCATGTGTTGATACACTTCCGAACAAGAGTGTATGGGATCTCGTTCATAACTGTATTTGTGATAAAAAATTCCCTCGATATGGCAACTTCACTCTTCATACTGTTATTGGTCTACAGGTGATGAGCGATAAAGAATGACTTGAGCGAATAATATAATACCTAACTCCATTTACCTGTAGACTCCAGTAGTTGTCAGATGCTATACCAAAGATGAGGGAAATTTATTTGCTGTTGTATATATTCAATCTAACAGAAATACCTGCCCATATTATTCTTTAAGACATATTAACACATACACAGAAACTAACATAGGCCCAAAGCAATTTTATAACAAACTAAAAAATCTCATTAGTTGTAAAAATAAGAAATAAAAAACATTTACAAAAACCCAACAAAACATATCCTACGATTCCTTATTCAACCCCCGAAGAGATTTTTTTTTCCCCTGCCTCTAAGGACATATTTTTATCCTAGGAGTAAAAAAAAAAACTGTGACGTTCACCTTTAACCCCAAATACCCCTCGCCTGGCTGATGCTAAAAGTGTCACAAACGCTGTAAAAACCTGTTGTGGATTACAGACGAGGCGGATCTTACTCTTTGTCTTTCCTGTAATACTTATTTTGTCTTCACTTGCTTCTATTTTCTGTGATATTTATCCTCTTTTAACTTGTATCTTATAATTTTATCCTCAGCTGTATTTTTTAATGATATTCTTTCTTTCTTTTGCTGAGGTTTTATGTATGGCTGAGTCTTAAGTCTTCAATATATCTATATCAGTCACTAATACATTACATCCTCCTCCACCCCACCTCAACTCAGCTAGGGTAGATAATGTTGTATTAGGGTAGTTAGGTAATAGAATGGTGGGGAAGGTATGGCTAGAAGGGGAGGTTGGAGGCAGTAATGGTGATGGTAGGAACAATAGTAGCAACAGAATATCAAACAACAGTAGCAACATCAATGACTATAGAAAAAAGCAATGCCAGCAACAGTAACCAGCATCAGGGGTATCAACAGTAGTAGTTATATCAACAGTAAAACCATCATTGTCCATAGGCCGAGGATTACCCAGTAACATTGGTATCCTCCTCATATTCAGTAGCAGCAGGGAGGTGATCGCCAACCTGTCTGTCTCCTAGGAGTCTCCGCTCACCGGCAGATAAAACAACGACCACGTCTTTAAGATGCGTTCACAAGGCCTTCTCGACTCTCTCTCGGGATCCTCACTGTCGTCTGGGTGCATACGAGAGAGAGAGAGAGAGAGAGAGAGAGAGAGAGAGATCAGAGTAAGACTTGAGAACAAGATATGAAAATGCATGTCTACACCCATAACTACCAAGGGTGTAATGATGACTATATTTTACGTTA